CCACCCACTCGCACACCCCAGCCCACTCCACAGCCAGTCACGTGCGTCCTCCCAGCCACTTCGTTAACCCTCTAATCCCAATTCCCCCCAGCCCCGAGGTCCCTTTCCCGAGTGGGGCGGCCCACAGCACCGGTCCCCCTCCACCCTGAAGGCAGGGGCCGTGGGGGGAGCCCCGCTCCTCCCCTCCCAGCGCTCCCAGTGTCTCCCAGCTGCAGGAAACGCCCAGGGCCCTTCCTTGATTTAAAGCTTCATCCCCAACTGCTACGAGCGGCTCAAAATCCCAGGCAGGGGGGAGAAACTTCCATTTTTCAGACACCCTCTGGGGTTTTTTTCCCCTTCCCAAGCTGTACCCGACCCATTTCCCTCCCCGAGGCCGGGGCTGAGGCCTGGGCAGGTCGGTTCAGGGATGATCGTGACCCTGGGACACGGGATCCAGGATCCCACGGTGCCGTGTCCGCCCTCGGAGCAGGCGCCGGGCTCTGCTGGCGTGGGTGGTGTTCGCTCCCAGCACCGAGAAGGTCCCATCCTGCTCCCCGCATGTCCCTGCCGCTGCTCCCACACCCCGGGATTTGGGTCCCCCCCATCCCAGCAGCCCGGGTTTGGCTTTCGCAGCCGGTGCCGGGGCAGAGCAGACCAGAGCTTGCCTGGACTTTTTTTTTTTCCCTGGTTCACCCTCTCTCCTCCCTTTTTACTCCTCTGCATCCATCCGCTTTGGAGCCGCTTCGGCTGCTCCCCGGGGCCGCGCGTTTGGCTTCGCAGAGCGGGGGCTTATACCGTTTTGGGGGTGTTTGAGTGCAAAACGATGGGGCATGTTTGGTGATTTAAAGGCTCAGTGTCAAAGAAAGAGGGGATTCAATAACAGGCACGGAGAAACGAGCAGATATCTGGGCTGAAGGGGGTGTTTTACGCCCCCATTTGCTGTTTTCCCCGACGCACAGCGCAGACCGCGGCTTTTAACCCATCCTAGGGCATCGCTCCTTGCTCTCGGTCTGGGAAAAAATAACCTGCGGGTATCGGGGCTGCAGGGCAGGGGATGAACTGCGCGGGAGCAGCAAAAAGCGGCAGAGAAGGACCACAGACGTGTGATGTTAAATAGCGGAACAACGGGATAACGCTGACCATTAAATAACATTACGCAGCGTTTTATTGGCGGCGCTGGGGCAGTACTTTGTTATCCCAGGCACGGTGCAAATCTGGCATCACAAGCCAATCTTGTTTCAAAGAGCTTATGATAAAAATATAATGTAACCCCTATGTCTTGGCAGCGGTTGCAGGATTGATAGGACGTTGTCGGGTCGTTGCAAAAACCGGTGTTATCGCGGGAGCGCCGGGTTTGTGG